GTGGTCTGAGCTGCTGTGAGGGTGTCTGTTCCGGAGAGACCCTCACCCCAGGGACTTCCTAGGACGTTATGAAGATGAATGTTCTGTGCTTCCCAGAGAGGAGGCACCTTTTTAAAAATATTTATATATTTTTATTGATTTCAGGGAGGAAGGGAGAGCCAGAGAGACAGAAACATCCATGATGAGACAGAGTCATGGATGGGCTGCCTCTTGCACACCCCCCCACTGAGGATCAAGCCTGCACCCCAGGCACGTGGCCTGACCAGGATCGAACCCGGGACCCTTCAGTCTGCAGGCCGACGCTCTATTCATTGAGCCAAATGGGCTGGGGCGAGCTACTGGTTATTTTAAAATTGATTTTCAATGACACTTCTGCCCAGAGCCAAAGGCTGCTTCACGGTGTGCACGGCCTCAGTGACTTTGCCGAACCCGAGGCCGCGTGCTCTCTCCATCAGGGTCCGAGGGATTCAGTGAATCGCCGGGTTTTCACTGGAGCAGATTCCCGAGGCTCCAGGGGCCCGAGTGCCTGCTGGCCTCCGGGCCTGAGCCACGCGGGTCCTGGGGGGGCGGAGGTATTGTCCATTGGATCGGCCTCTGGATTTACGGCCGTGGCGGGCGGACGCGGTTCTGGGGGACGCGGGAAACCTGGCCGCCGGACGCGTGGTGCTGACAGTGGAGTCCGGGGCCGCCTGTCCCCGAGAGCGTCAGGCGGGGCCGACAGGAGTGAGCCTGGCCAGGCCGCGTGCTGCAAGGATGGCATCGGCTGCGGCCCGATGCCCGGATCTGGGCCCTGCACTCAGCTCTGGTCCGTCTGTCCAGGAGGCCTGGACTTGGCCTTTACCTGTTTTTCGTCTTCCTCTGCGCCCCCGACCCCTGATCTCTGACCTCTCAGAGAAAGCCTGCCCCAAACTGAGCTCTACTCACGTCCTGGTCAATGACCCATGAGTGGCTCCACGGACGTGGCCCCGTCCCTCTCTCCGGCCGCATCTCCTTATGCTTCCTCCACGGGGAGCGTCCCCCAGGCCAGTGGTCGGCAAACTCATCAGTCCACTGAGCCAAATATCACAGGACAACCATTGAAATTTCTTTGGAGAGCCAAATCTTTTAAACTTAAACTATATAGGTAGGTACCTTGTTATTAACTTAATTAGGGTCCTCCTAAGGCTTAGGAAGAGCCACACTCAAGGGGCCAAAGAGCCGCATGTGGCTCGTGAGCCGCAGTTTGCCGACCACGGCCCATGGCACCTGCCTTTCCTAGGTGTCCGAGGGCCCCTCTCTCTGTCTCTTTTCACCTCCTGAAGTCCAGGCTCTATCCGTGTGTTCAGGCGGAGACTAGGTCCCACCTCCCGGGACGTTTTCCTCGACCCCTTTCTGGGAGCCATCGCTTGCTCCTCGGAGCTCCCCTGACGTGCTGGGGGTATTCAGAACACAGTTGCCCGGCCGGTGTGGCTCAGTGGTTGAGCATCATCCCATGCACCAAGAGGTCACTGGTTCGATTCCCGGCCAGGACACGTGCCCATGTTGTGGGCTTGATCCCCAGCAGGGGGCGTGCAGGAGGCAGCCGACGATTCTCTCGCATCATCGCTGTTTCTCTACTTCTTTCCTCTTTCGCTAAAAATAAATAAAAACGTATTTTGAAAAAGAGTATAGTGAAGGGTGAAGCCTTTGGAATTGGCTTAGAATCAATGCCAGTTCCATCATTTATTGGCTGTGTGACCTTTAAAAAAATAGTTTTTATTGATTTCAGAGAGGACAGGAGAGGGAGAGAGATGTAGAAGCATCAATGATGAGAGAATCATGGATCGGCTGCCTCCTGCCTCCTGCCTCCTGGGTGGTGGGCCAAAGGTCGAGCCCACTGCCCAGGCCTGTGCCCTGACCGGGAATCAAACCATGTCCTCCTGGTTCATAGGTCGACGCTCAACCACGGAGCCACACCGGCCGGTGGCTTATAACACATCCTCTCCTCCCTTTTTTTTTAAATTGTTCCCTTCTTTCTCTCCTTCTTATTCCGACTGCAGCCTGAACCACCTTTAAAAAGTAAATTCTTACTCAGCGATGTTCTGTTTGAGATGAGCCGGGAGACGCCGGGCTTCTGACACTCAGCGCCCGCCCGCCTGCTCCTCCCGATGGCCGTCCCAGCCGCCCGTCTTCAGGTCCCCGGGGCCCTGCAGGCCCTGGACGCGGACACCCCGGGCTCCTCGCTCCTCCCGCCTTTACACTGCAGCGTCCTGAGAGGAACCCCAGCGCTTTAATTAAAGTCATTTCAACGAACCCGCATTAACTGTGATGGATGCCCCCGCCGGAGAGTAAGTGCATTAACGCCATAATTATCTGTGGAGGATGTTTTATTGATCCTGCAATGATATTTCCGTCAGTTTGTATTATTTAGTTTCTGACTTACATCAGGAAGAAATGGCAATTGGTGGGGAAATTAATCATCTCAATCCAATTGCCATCGACGCGCTTGGGCGCAAACGCCCAGCGCGGCCTCGCCGGGTCTCTCGGGCCAGCGCTAGCGCGACGCTGACGGGTGATGCGGGCGAGGAGCAGGCTTCGGTTCGCAGTCCCCGGGCGCCAGGGGGCATGTCCGGCTGCCCTGGGAACTTGGGGAAAGTCTGCCTCCGGCCCAGCCTCCTGGAACTTCTGCTGGAAGTGGTGGGCCGATAGGTAACTACAGGGCAGGGCCCATCCGTAGACGGCCAGCTCCCGGGTCCTTGGGGGTTCCCGGGCGCCCCCGCCCCTGGCCTCTGAGCTCCTGGTCTCCGAGGGGCAGCGGAGGAGGTCTGGGTGGCCCTCAGCATGGAGTCTGTTCTGGGGAGGACTCTCCGGGTGCGACGGCAGCAAACCCGCTGCAGACAGGTGTGTGGCCCTGGTCATGGAACCGTCCGAGGAGGATGCGCTTTCAGGGGGCTGGGTCTGCGCTCGAGCGATGCCCAGGCCCGCCTCTCGGGCTCAGGCTGGTTTTCCTTCACACCTCGCCTCGTTTCCTCATTCTGTGGGGTCAAGAAAGGGACAGCCAGCCAGCGGGCAGGCTCAGTGGGTGAGCGTCGACCTATGAACTGGGAGGTCACGGTTCCATTCCCGGTCAGGGCACATGTCCGGGTTGCAGGCTAGACCCCCAGTAGGGGGTGTGCAGGAGGCAGCCGATCCATGATTCATTCTCTCTCATCATGGATGTTTCTCTCTCCCTCTCCCTTCTTCTCTGAAACCAACAAAAATATATTTTAAAAAAAGAAAAAGAAAAAGGAAAAGGAGCAGGGCCTGGAAGGAAAAAGGCGAGACTGAAAGCCGTTCTCTCCGGAGCCCTCCATTCTGATGTGGGTGAGGTCCTGACAAGGCCCCCCCCTCCCCCAGCTGCACCAGGTGACCCCTGAGGGAGCCCAGGCAAGACCCCGGGGCCGAGGGCAGGGCCTGAGCAGCGGGAGCACCACTGACTCCTCTTTGATGTGGCCCCAGATGAATTATTTACGTGCATTTCCATCTACTGTCCAACAATGAGAGCTGGCGCGACGCAGCCCATTATCTTCTGGAAATGTGTCTGTGTGAGGGGCTCTTAATTGCAGCGTCAGTCAGATGCCCACCGGCCCGGGCCCCGCCGGGGGCCTGAGGCCGGCGAATGGAGTCACCAGAGCTCTGACTCTAATTTAGAGGCAAAGGGAGACGGGGAGGACGCGGCCCCTTTATGCTCTCCTCCCCTTTTGGAGACAACGGCCTGTGATGTCATAGGTCCCGCCAGGAGGCAGCGGCGGGACAGAGCGATCGGGTGTCCCCCCAAATGTATACACACTTCACAGCGGACAGCTCAGTGGATGCTTCTTTCATTCCAGATTTAACCCATGGAAACGAACAATTATTCAAAGTGTGTGCCTGGCTGGCATGGCTCAGTGGTTGAGCGTTGACCCAGGAACCAAGAGGTTACCCCCCCTGCCAGGGCACAGCCCAGACCCCAAAAGTGTCCCTTGCTCCTCCTCTTGTCAAAAGTCCCCTGGCCGTCTCGCTCCCCATCCTCTCTGAGAAGGGCTGACGCCTCCCCCCCCCCTCCCAGCCCTGCCACCCACCCTGGCCACTCGAGGGGTCATGGCTCCTTTCGGGACCTCAGGTCCCTCCTCTGTGAGACGGGGCGGAAAGCAAGGATTCCATCTCCTCTGGAGACCAGGAAGCCCCCCGGGTTTGACAGGCCTTGGGAATGGCACACGCCTGGCGCCATCGCGGATAATGCAATCACCCACACTTTCTGCTGCTCACAGCAGGCTTTCGGGAGCACCGGCCTGCCCCCACCTCCCCGCGCTGATTGAGTTACACGTCCATGGGAGGGGCTAGCTCCACGCTATCGATCGGCGTGTAGTACATCCATTGGCGTGACCTCCGGGCCTGTTTTTTCAGTGGGTCAGGCGGTGCAAGGGGAGTCTTTGCAGAACAAGCGACTGTCATTTCAAAGAAGGTCTCGGGCGGGTGCTGGTGTTGGGGGGCCCACAGCCCTGTTGTCATCGGGGGAGCCGGCCCTGTCCTCCCTGCTCCGCTCCCCCAATCCACCCATCACTGACCTTCACACCGCGACCTGTGCCCTTTCACGGCACCTGAGGCACCGCACGGCTCATCTAAGCGCTTGTTTTAAATCCTCACCTAAGGGTGTCTTCCCTGATTTTTATTTATTTGTTTACTTTTAAACATTTAGAAATTAAAAAAAAACTTGTTAATTGATTTCAGAGAGGAGGGGAGAGGGAGAGAAAGAGATAGAAACATCCGTGATGAGAGAGAATCAGGGATCGGCTGCCTCCTGCACGCCCCCCTCCTGGGATGGAGCCCACAACTGGGGAATGTGCTCTTGACCGGAATTTTCCCCTTCACTCCACAGGCTGACACTCTATCCATTGAGCCAAACTGGCTAGGACTATTCACTGATTTTTAGAGAGAGAGAGAGAGAGAGAGAGAGAGAGAGGAACATTGATGTGAGAAAGAAACATCAATTGGTCGCCTCCCACAAGCACCCCGACTGGGGGATCAAATCTGTAACTTAAGCGTGTACCCACCGGGAATCGAACACGCAACCCTTTTGTGTATGGGAAGGTGCTCCCGCCAACTGAGCCACCCAGCCAGGGCCCATCTACGCACTTTTATAAGAGACAGGACTCAGCCCAGGGTTATGTTGTTGTTGCTTTAAATTCCTTCCCTGCTCTCCCCTTTACTATCTCTCCACGACCCTTAGATGTAAAAAACAAAAACCCCACAAAATTACCGTAAAATTACTGTCCGGGACCCAGAAAGGCCAGGAGCCGCTGCCTGCCTTCCGCTCCCTGGCCAGTGGCTCTGGGTCAGTTGCCGCCATCAGCTTCTCCCGGCACCTCTGGCTTTCATTTTCTCCCCTCCAACATTAGCTGTTGGTTCAATTCGTCCCCAAATAGCCTGGCCCAGCCATCCCATAATACCCTGCCCTGTGGCACTCTGAGCCCCTCCTCCCTGCCCATCCCCTCCTTTAATAGGCACCGGCTCCAGCAACGCCTGGCCTCCGGTTCAGGAGCCGGCAGCCTCCGCAGCAGCCCCAGGTCCTGGTGGATAACCCCTCCACCCGGCCCCACGCCCTGGAGCTGTCAGCCCAGACAGTGGGCAGCTCAGCCTGGTCTTCTGGCCTCTGAGAGGGGACCTGGAGATGCCCGAGTTATCTCCACCCCCAACCCCTGAGGGGTCACCCGCTGACCTTGGGGATGCAGCAGGGGCCTGTCTGGGTTTTGCTGTGAGGGACCCAGAAGCCAAAGGCGCTGCCCCGCTTGTCCTGTGACAGACGGGGAGCTGGGTCACCGAAGACGGGGTGAGGGGCCCGCTCGCTCCCCGTGGAAGGGGTGATGGTTCGGTTCGGCAGGCCTTGCTGAGGACTCATGGCCACTGGGGGAGGGTTGGGGCGGGGGAGGGGGGGACGCGCTGATCCCTGGCCGCTCCCCAGGGTCCCTCTGGCTCACGGGAGCTGCTTCTGCGCCCCTGAACGGGCCGCCCATTTTTCCTCCTTAGCCCCGTCCCAGGCTCCCTCCTCCCCCACCCGGCGCCTGCCCAGGCCCGATTGAGACGAGCGTATACGACAGCGTTTCCATGAAGACAGATCGCTCCTCCGCAAGGTCAGCTCCCGCGGGCTGGGCTCTTTGGCAAGTGATTCGTCAAACGGGGCAGCGGGCAGCGCCGGAACCTTCCGGAGGATCGCTGGGCCCTGTGGACCTGGTCTCCTTCCTTCCTCTGTCCGTCTGGGCTCCCCCGGGGGCCCCCAACACAGAGGGATGGCTTGGCACCATTTTGGACACGATGGCGGGGACCCAGAAGGCGAAGCAAACCCTTCGCAGAAACTGGCGGTTTCCCAGTCTAGGTGCAGCCGCGGCCCCTTGTGCGGTTTGAGGAAGCAGAACAGCAAAGCCCGGCCCGGCACCGGCCGCTCAGCTCCCCTTACACCGGCGGGCGGTCCGGTCTCACCCTCCGGGCCCACAGCTCGGCCCGGCTTTATTCCGTGCTCACTGAGCTCACCGAGCCCCTGTGTGAGCCGGGCCCTGCCCGCCTGGAGCGCACTGCCCTGCCGAAGGCGGCGCACTATTCAGAGGCGAGAGAAGGGACCACAAGGGGAAGCTGTTAGGAAATCACCCTGATGGGCCCCCCCTAAAGGACCCGCAGGCACCCGTCTCGCCTCGGTGGTCACGCCGCTGGCAACGCTCCCCCCGCCCACTCGCACGTCCAAGTGGCGGCTTCCAATGGGCACTCCTTCCCGGGGTATCTCGTACTTCACCTCAGGCTTCAAAGCTGATCACGCCCCGCCGGCGTTCTGAGAACTGGACTCCCCAGGAAACGCCCACACTCAGTTATTTAGACCAAAATCCGCGCCCTGCCCCCCAGAAGGCAGCATTCGGGTGGTGGGCGGCTCCCTGCGCCCCACCCACCCGCTCCCCACGGGGCTCTGCGTCTGACTCACCGTCGGACTTGGGGTGGTACTAGAGCCCCCTCAGCCTGCCTCCTGCCTTCCTGCTAGTCCTGCCCTGCGTCCCTCTGCTCCGGCCTGAGTGTAGAGAAGGTGGACCGAATGCTCACAGGCCTGGCATTCATCCGGGCGGTCCTGGGGCAGGAGGAAGCTGGGTGCTCTGGGGTGGGCCCCGAGCCATCTTGCCGACGGGGGAGCTCTTATGGGGAAAAAGGGGGCTGGACGGGGCCTCAGGTTTCCCTGCCGTGGACACGCCTGCCTCTGGCGTGTCCCACTCAATATGTGTGATCGAAGTCGGTCCCGGGGGTGCCGGCAGTGATGG